CACCATTTTTTTGGTGCCAGGGATTGAACTCGGGCCCTTGAGCTTGCAAGGCAGGTGCCAGAACCACTGAGCTAAATCTCCAGCCCTCCCCACCTTTTTTAACAGAAAATTATAGTGTTGTTGTTTTTCTTGTACCAGGAATCAAACTCAGGTCCTTGTGCTTGCAAGGCAGGCGGCGGCACCACTGAGCTAAATCCCTGGCCCTTTTGTACATGTTTTTTAAAAATCTAGGGCCGGGGATTTAGCTGAGTGGTGCCGACGCCTGCCTTGCAAGCACAAGGTCCTAAGTACGATCCCTGGTACCAAAACAACAACAACAACAACAAAACGTGTGCAAGAAAGTCTGCAAGGGAAAGGATAAACAAAGGTCAGTAGGCCAAAAGTTTATAGACTTTTCTCCTATGGTGGTGCTGGAACTTTATTCAGAGGCACTCTTTATTTTGAGATCGGATCTCACTGAATGGCCCAGGCTGGTCGCAGCTCTCAGTCATCCTGCATCAGCCTCAGGAGTGCGGGGAGAATGTGCAACACCACAGCTTTCAACACAAAGGCTGATAAATTCTCCAGGTGTGCAGAGACAAAAGGGCCCCTGTGCAAGGTGCAGAAAGCGGTCTGAGCAGGAAATACATGGGAAACTAAGCAAGGTGTTGTTTGAAAAGGTTCTTTGTACCGGTTGACGTCGGCCTCACTGCCGGTCTCTGCCGGTAAGTGTTCTCTGCCTCCAGTCGGGAGGGCACCGTTCGATTAGAAGTTTTATAACCTGCCTTTTTAGGTAGAAAAGAGCAGGTTAGACACTCTGTTCTCATCTGCTGTTTTTCAAGTGCCTTCGGTTCCAGATAATCAGTGCACCACGCAGTACATCGGAGGCGGCCCATCCTGAAACCCTCCAGCTGTCTGCTCCTGCTTATGATTCCATAATTTGCCCATTGAGGAAAAGCTGGAGTCGTGGCTCGCCATTTCCTGTTCCTAATCAGTACACCACAAAGACTGGTGGCATGACTCTAGGGTCACCGCAGTGTGTCGTCCTCGGTGTCAGGACAGGGCAGGGTGCCAGTGAGGCGGGGGGGGGGCTGTTATTGCTGCTTCTGCTTGTCCAGGTCCCTGTCAACTGCATCTTTGTTTCCATCTCCATTCTGATGGGCCAGTTCAAGGCTCTCCTGCCTCAGCTACAGCTAGCAGTCCCCTCAGATCTGTCGCCTTGTTTCTAGAAATGCAAGTCCACTTCACAGCCTCTCTCCAAGCAGCTCCATGGTCTTCCTCTGAGAGGCAGAGGCAAGTGCGTTTATCAAGCATCTCACAGCTCCGTGGAGCTGTCCGTTCAGGATCCGATGTGAGCTAGGCCTGCAGAGGTACGGCCAACCACGTCCTGATATCCGGAGAGACAGCCTGGGGCGGGGCTCGGTCGTGGACCAGATGCTGAGTGCCGCAGGGCTGCACAGACAGGCAGATTACCGCCACCCGGTGCTGTTTCACATCCCAGCCAGTGCCGTGTCACATGCTTCCTCTTGTGTTCTCATTTGCACTGAGGTCATCTTAAAGGGTGTGGGTGTGTGTGCGTGCGCACGCTCATGCTGCAGATCAAACCCAGTCCATTCTGCTTGTTATGCAAGCACTTTACCGCTGAGCTGCTGCTACAGCCTTCGCGCAGACATGATCTATTAACTAATGTTGTTGGAAAGACCACTTCTCGGGAGTCCTCTCGTGCAGGGGACACGGCCCATGGGCTATGGAACCGTGGTTCCGGGACCCCACCGGTCACCCCAGCCCCATTCTCCAGGCTACACTTCTGCAGGCTACAAGAAGTGTTTACAATGAGTAGAAATGAAGTAAGAAAAGAAGGGGGAAATGGAGGAAGAGAAAGAAAGGGATGCGGGCAGGGATAGCTCTAGGAGGACGAGGTGGGAAGGGGAGCAGCTGGGTCTGGGGACAGAGGCACAGAGAAGCCTCTATAGCAGTGATGGCCTTTGAATCGAGTCTTAAAGTGTGGGTGAGAGTTGGGTAGAAGGACGCACCCCCCAGAACAAAGACAGTAGCTCAGAAGTGGGCATAGATGGAAAGTGTGGTGTGGTCGGAGCACGGGATTGTAGGAGTCAGAGGGCAGAGGACGTGAGACTTGAGGCCGACTGGGGCAGAGCGAGGGCCGCCTGGTAGAGCTGGACTTTACACACAGGACTAATACAGAACACAGATGCCCCAGGCACTGTGGAAACCTGGCTGCAGGAGTTTCATTTAATTTAGGAACTATTTATAGTGCCAAAGTGAAATAGCATGCAGTCCACCGGGAGTGAATATGAGGCTCATTCATGAGTCATGTTCAGTAAAATAAAGGGTTCTTGGAATTGAAGTACTTGTGGGTGCTAAAGATGGCAAACTGAAACTTTTCTGAATCACTTCTGGCTTTGGGAGAGGGATTAATGGCTGAATCTTTTGTTTAAAAGCCTGCATTAAATAGAACGACATTCTTACACCATAAATGACCTCATCAGTTAAAATGCCCAAGGAATGGAGAGGCAAGACTTAGGACTGGCATTGAGTGTGAGAATTTAAGAGGTTTGGTATCTCTGCAAAGATATTGGAGTCTATGAGCATAAAGGATTTCCATCTCTTTGTGTTCATATTATGTAAAAGCAACCCAAATTCTAGCTCGAATAAATACCCTCTGAAGTTTTTTGTTTTTGTTTGGTTTTTATTGTTTGTTTTTTTTGAGACAAGGTCTCACTGTGCAGTTCAGGCTGGCTTTAAACTCACTATGAAGCCCAAGCTGACCTTGAACTGTTGGAGATCCTCCTGCCTCAGCCTCCCAAGTGCTGGGTTTACAGGTGTGCACCACCATGTCCAGCTTCCATGTGTAGTTTTTACCAGTTTTCAGTTTACCAAAATTGATTCCCAAGGTCAGCAGACCCCAGCAATGCTCTGCTCCCCGCCCCCATTTTTTTTGTAATTCGGGACCTTGTGCTTGCCAGGCAGACAGCAGAACCATTGAGCTAAATCCCTGGCCCTTCCCTTTTCTGGAGGTGGGAGTTCTCACTATGTAGTTCAGGCTGACCTTGAGATCACTTCTTGACCCTCACTGGCCTCACACCACACTCACACCTCACTCCCAGCACTGTGCATGCTCATGCTGCACACAAGTGCATGTGGTCACGGGAGAATTTACTCCCCGTACTTGCTAGTAGGTACTGATGTCTTTGGTGTCCCCATTACCTGGAATGGTCAGATGTCCCCCCCTCTCATGCCAGCAAAGGGCCCTCGGTCACCTTGAGGGCATTTCCTTAGCCATAATTCTAAGGTGTTACCATCCTGGGTTAGGGGGTCTGAGGCGGAGCTTTCAGAAGGCCTGATTTGGTCACATCCACAGAGAGAATAGATGCCTGACCCAGTCACCTCTAGTTACAAATAAAAGTGTTCTGTTTGGCATTTGGGAGTTACTCTACACCTGGCGGTGTGATCTGCCCTCAGAATGAGCCCTGTGTCAGATGCCATCAGATGCGACCGTCACCTAGGTTAGTGCAGAGCAAAGTCTGCCACTGTTACTGGGTAGCTCCTGCAAGTGACTCACCAAATGGTTACCCAGTTCTGGGTTGCTCACCTGTCTTTCTGGGGCTAGATCCCAGTTCCTCTCTTGAACAAAGAATCGAACAAAACGAGTGAAAAGCAGTGGCAATAGTGTATTTGAAAAAGTAAGGAAAGTGAGGGAGAAACGGTCTCTGGAGAGCAAGCTTAGCCCTAATAGAAGGAAAAAAAGAGCCAGAAAAAAAGTACACCTTGGAGGAGGCAGGGTGAGCTGTCTGTCGTGAGGACAGCCCTAATAGCGAGCTCTTCCTGGCATCTGTGTCTTTTGCTGTCCAGATCCCAGGGAAATCTGTGAGAACTTGTGAGTATGGGTCCTGAGGGGTGGGGCTGGGGCCCCAGCCTCAGGCTGACCTCAGGTCCGGGCGTCCTGTTGAAAACCTGCTCAAGTTCTTTCGAGAAGTCAGGCACAGGACTTTGGGAGCTGTTCTGAGCACCTGTCGTGGGATCTTTAACTAACAGAGCCTGCCCACCTCCCTAGCCAGCTCTGCCATGCCCTGCTCTCCTGTGTCACCACCAGGATTAGCATAAACCAAGGGTCACCATGATGGCAAAGCAAGTGGTAACAGAATTTTGTTACCTTGTTTAGCAAAATGCAAATTTACAATTAATTGTATTGCATTTAATTGTTACCTCCCTAATTCTGTCTCAGCAGCCTGACTTTTTTTTTTTTTTTCTGAAGATTGACTCCGGGGCCTTTGCACTGAGCTATAATCCCAGCCCTTCTTTTTAATTTTATTTTCATTTTGAGGCAGGGTTTCCCTAATGTTCTGTTTCCAGGGACGGTTTCAATCCCACCTCAACCATCCAGAGATTTTTTTTTTGAAGATTGACTCCGGGGCCTTTGCACTGAGCTATAATCCCAGCCCTTCTTTTTAATTTTATTTTCATTTTGAGGCAGGGTTTCCCTAATGTTCTGTTTCCAGGGACGGTTTCAATCCCACCTCAACCATCCAGAGTGCCAAGATTACAGGTGTGTGCCACCACAGCTGGCTCAGCATGACTTACTTTAACAAAATACTCAGTTTTTCTGGCTTTTGCCATTTTAGAATGTGTATATTAAAATATTCTGAGCAATATTGAGAAGCAACCTACTGCTTTTTGAGAAGGGATGTTTCTAGTATAGGTGTGACATTGCCAGGGTAAGAATTTTTAATTTCTGTGAGCAAATTTCAAATTCCATCTGAACAGTCATGCTGGGTCTTTACAGTTATGTCTTAGGTACACATGTTTGGTTAAAAGAGCCTCATTTTTCTCTTCACTGCTTTGTGATTGTGAGCCTGTGCAGAGCAGGAGCCTCTGCCTTTGCCCAACAGCAGCCAGCACTGGACCGTGCTAGGTACTGCCCAGTGCCACAGAGGCATCAGGAGAGCCAGGGACGGGCCGAGGGTACAGGGTGGAGCCTGGCTGACCCATGCCTGTCTGTCTAGGGCCGCAGACCTGGAGATGACCCTGGAGCGAGCCGTGAGCATGCTGGATGCTGACCACACGCCGCTGGCCCGGGTGGCGGCTGCAGCCACCTTCATCCAGCACGAGAGCTTCCAGAAGGCCGAGGCCCGCAGGAGGGTACGTACCATCTGCGCTGTGTGGGCTCAGGCTCTTTTAAGTCTTTAAACTCTTCACTGAGGTTTGGGTTTTGTGCTGTTTCTTTGTTTAAGAGGAAATACTCATTACACAAAACCCTGCGTGCAGTTTGGAAATGCAGATAGTAAGTTGCTGCAGGAGCCTCCCTCTTGGCCTGACAACTCAGAGCCTCCCCTCTCAGAGAGAGTTAAGCTATTATTTTCTATATTTTAAAAACATATTAAATAGAAGCGATAGTTTGCAATTGTTCTCAGTCCACTGTTTTATGAACATACTACAATGATCATTCAAAGCAGTTTCATGCATGTATCTCTGGACAGTTCCTTAGTGTTCCTGTAGGACAGAACCCACAATAAATCATTGCATATTTGTTTTAAAAAATGATATGGGGCCGGAGTTTAGCTCAGTGGCGCCAGTGCCTGCCTGCAAGCAAAAGGTCCTGAGTTCGATCTCTGGTTCCACCAAAAAAAAAAAAGTGGTATGTTGGGAGGGATATCCAGTAAAAAGTGAGTCTTTCGCCTCTAGACTTCAGCCTGAACTCCTCTTCTTTACTCCACTCAATTTGTGGGTGCCTTTCCAGAGACATTTTATGCATGCAGAATCAGTTGTTGGAACCTAGGGGTTGGCCGAATCACATTTTTATTCAAATTAAAATCACAAATGGCAGCGTACTGTATTTTCTTTTCAGTTATTCTACAGTGGAGTTTTGACTTATGAACTCAAGTCATTCTCCAGGGCTGGTTGTAACTCTTCTTGGTCAGTTGAAGGCTCAGGCTCCTCTACACAGCCTTCACATTCTCTGTCCTGTACACAGATAGATCTCAGAGTCCTTAGAGAGACACTGGCCCGGGATTTCTTAGTTAACTCCACACAGGAAAGGATATTGTCATGTTCCTTCCAGAACTCTTCAAAGGTTAAATGTGTATCTGAGACCATCTGGAGACAAGCATCCAGCATTTGGGTCATGACACACTTTGTAAGTTAAAGCTAAAATTCTGGTCGTAACCAGAGTTGTTTGTTTGCCAGGCTGGTCATAACTTGAGGATCCACTGTAATGTAGAAATCTTCCATGTATAAGCCCTTCGTCATTCTTTAAAATGGTTATATTGATTTCTGTTGTCTAAGTGTGGTTCTTGGAATGAAGCCCAGGGCTTCACATGCTGCTAGGCAGGTGCTCTCACGGAGCTATAACCCCAGCCTTAAATGGACCTGGTTTGTTGGTTCATTTTAAACAGCTTCAGGAGCTACACCTTGATGAAGTTTGAAGGTGTGTTTTGACCTTATGAACCCATAATCACAGTCAAGATAATGAGCACATCCATCTCTCTAGAGGGGTCTTGTAGCTCTGGGGGTGGAGCCCGCTGGTGGAGCACTTGTTCAGTGTGTGCAAGGCCTGGGGTGTGCCCCGGCACCTGTTGCTGAACCCTGTGTGATCCGTACACCCCATTTGGTGCCAGCAGCAGCCATCCTTCAGAGACAGCCTGCTTTCCACGATTATGTTTTTTTTGTTTGTTTATTTTGTTTTTGTTTTTGTTTTTGTTTTTTGTTTTGTTTTTAAGACAGGGTCTCACTATGTAGTTGAGACTGACCTCGAATTCACTGTGTAGCCCAGGCTGGTCTCAAACTCACAGGAATCCTCCTGCCTCAGCCTCCCTAGTGCTAGAATTACAGGCATGCCCCACCATGGCCGGCTCCATGATTATGGATTAGAGTGGATTTTGTGGGATTTTATGTAAGTGGAATTTTATTGTGTATATGCTCTCTTTGTCTGGATAATTTCAACAGCTTGTGTCTTGAGTTTTACCCTCGTTATGTATATCAGAAGTTTGGGCTATAAAGAAGCTGCTAGGAACATTTGTGTCCCACACAGATACATGCTTGCATTTCTCTCGAGTGAATCCCGAGGAGCGGAATGCCTAAGTGATATGGTAGATATGTGGCTGACAAACTGTTTTACAAAGTAGCTGTGCTATTTTGCATCCTCACCAGCAGTGTACCAGAGCTCCAGTCCTACCACATCTTAACACTTGTCGGGTCAGCGTCAATTTTGACCTGTGCATTTTGTAGTACTTGTTTCATTGTGGCTTTAATATACATCTTACCAGTCATTAATGAAGTTGAACATTTTTTATGTGCTTGTTTGCCATCTGCATATCTTCACTGGTAGATATGTGTTTTATTCTTTTGCCCACTTATTTGTTTTCTTATTGAATTTCTTTTCTCAGTGCTAGGAGTCACACCTAGTTCTCATGTAAGTTAGAGAAGTACTATTCCACTGAGATACACCGCCAGTCCTCCCTGAATTTTGAAAGTTCTTTTGTTGTTGTTGGTGGTGATGGTGTTGTTTTCAGACAGGGTCTTACTGTGTAGTTCAGGCTTGCCTTGCACTCACTGTGTGGTGCAGGCTGGTCTCAAACTTGTAGCAGTTCTCCTGCTTCAGCCTCCCAAATTCTGAGACTATAGGCATGTGGCACAACACCTGCCTGAAAGTTCTTTATATATTCTGCATACAGATTGTTTTTCAGATCTATGATTTGGAACTACTCTCTCCCAGTTATGCTTTGTTTTCAATTACTTAATATTTTTCATTTTAATAGAGTTCAATTTATCAATTTTTTTCTTCATACAGCAGATCATGCTTTTCATGGTATATCTAAGAAATCTTCCCCACTGCAAGATTAGAAAATATTCTCCTATTTTCTTTTAGAAGCTTTATTAAGTGTTAGATTTCGTAGTTGCTCTATGGTTGTATTGGCCAGTCTAGGTCTTTCGCATTTCCATTTCAATTTTACAATCTGCTCCTTGATTTCTTAAAAGGTAAACATGCTAGAATTTTGTTTACAATTGCACTAAATCTGAAGATAGATATGGAAAGTTGATATCTTAATAATACTGTGTTTTTGGACCCATCAACATGGTATATCTCACCATTTATTTAGGTCTTTAATTTTTCTCAGCAATATTTTTATAGGACCAGGGATTTAGCTCAGTAGTTCTGCCACCAAGAAACAAAAAAAAAAAAAAAAAGAAAAGAAAAGAAAAACCCAAGAAATATTTTTATAGTTTTTACTCAGTCTTTTGTATCATGTGTTATATTTATCCTTAACTTTATTATCTTTCTGGATGCTTTTTATCAATAGTACTGTTTTAGATTACAGTTTTTATATTTATTACATAGACATACAATTGATTTTTATGTATTGATTTTCCATCTTAAGATACTATTAAGTTCACTTATTAACTCTGAAGATTCTGTTAGATTTTCTACATAGAATCTTCCTTCTCAAACTGGAAGCCTTGCATATATTCTTTCTTCCTTCCCTTCTTTCTCCGTCCTTGTTTGGGTAACACTTCCCTTATATAATCTTGAAAAGAACTGCTAAGAATGGGTGTGTTGTCTTTTTCCATAAAATAGAATGCTGCTTAGAATGATCACATCAAAGAACTTATTTTTGCTCCTACTTTAATGGAGTGGGGTTTATTTTATTTTATTTTATTTATTTATTTGGGGGGGTACCGGGGATTGAACTCGGGTCCTTGCGCTTTCAACGCAGGTCACTGAACCGCTGAGCTAAATCCCTGGCCCTGGAGTGTTTTTTTTTAATTAGGAATGGATATTGAATTTTGTTAAGTGCTCTTTATGAATTTACTGTAAAATATATATATGGTTTTTAATTTAAATTTTACTATAATGGTAAATTACCTTCTCTTTTTGTTTTTGTTTCTTTGCAGTACTGGGGATTGAATCTCCAAGGCCTTTACACTGAGCTACATCCTAGCCTTTTTTTTTTTTTCTTTTAGCTTTTTTTCTCTGAAATTCTTTTATTGGTACATTTTAGATGTAAAATAAATTTAAATTCATCATTAGGAACTTGTACCTTTACATAGTGTATCTTGGTTCTTATTTTTTCCCCCTTCCTCTGCCCTTCCTTCAACCCCTCCACCCCTCCCTATTTGCAAAGGCTTTGTTTCTATTTTTTTCTTTTCTCATATTTTTTTTTCCTTTCCCTTCTTTCCTTTCCTCTGCCCCTTTGGACCTTTTCTTCCTATTTCACATTATCAATTACTCATTTTATTCCTTGTTTACACTTTTAGTTAAGTTATCCAAGGTAAGTTCAAACTTGCAATCTTCCTGCCTCAGCCTCCCAGAGTGTTGGGATTATAGGAATGCTTCACCATACCTGGCCGTGATTGATTTTAATGTTATCCCATTCATTCCTTGTACAAACCTTACCTGGTTGTGAAGTACTAACAGTTTATATTTTATATTAGACTTGCTATATTTTTAAGAATTTTACATATATTTGTAGAAGATGTGATCTGTAGTTTTCTTTCCTTTGTAATGTCTTTGTTGGATTTTGAATTGAGGGTGATATTACCCTCATAGAACAAATTGCACAATACTCCATCTTCCTCAGTTTGGTCAGAATTACTATTATTACTCCTTTCTTAATGTTTGGTAGAACTCACCAGTGAAACCACCAGACTGATGATTTCTTTGTGAGAAGGCTCAAAACTATAAGTTCCATTTCTTTAATGGATGTACTGCTCTCTGGGCCACCTCTTTCTTTTGTAGTGAGCTCTGGTAGTTATATCTTTTAGAGGATTTGTAGAGGTCCTCTAAGCTGTTCCAGTGAGGTCCATTTCTTTGCGCAGATGCATCTGCTGTCATTTCTCTCTTCCTGAAGGATCTTCTTCAGCATCTAATTGAGTGCAGGTCTCCTGGTAAGGAACTGCCTCAGTTTTTGTAGGTCATAAGGTTATGTCATAAAGATAATGTCATCTTGGCTTTTGAAGGGTATTTTTTCACCAGCTACAAAACCTTACTTAGGTTGAGTTTTTTCAATTGTCAGTATTAAAAGTGCTTGTCCCAGTGTCTTCTGACTTGCTTGTCTCAGACAGGAAATCTCCTGCTGTCCTTGTCCTTTCTCCATGTGTAGTGTCTCCCACACACACCTCTGGCTTCTTTCAAGATCTGGTCA